AAATCTGAGCCATGAAGAATAGAAAAACCTGCTTCGGCATAAGGAGCTTGACTCCAGGAGATGAACTGGTACATCTCTCACTTGTTTCAAAATTCAAATCCCTAATCCCCTTTATGCGATTCTTTGATCTAGTTTTTCACACACATGCAGAGGCCTATTTATGAATTCTTTTCCTGTTTAATGAGTTTTATTCTAATTGAACTATTTTTCTCTAAATGATTTGCAGTAAGGCGATGTCATCATATCTAAAATGAAGAGATGGATATTGGGAAAAGTTGCTTCAGAAAAGCAAGAAGTTGAATAGATCGATATTCAGAAAAAAAAAAGCAAGGAGATGAACCGACAGATAGTGAGAAGTTAAGAACGGGAGATGCCGGCCAAATGAATAGTGTCACGATCCATTTTACTCCTGATAAGATTCAATGGACATGAACTTTAAGCCATGTAGTCATGTAGAAATCTATGGAATGTATGAAGTCTATGGAATGTATGAAGTCGGTGCAAATCAATAGAAAAATTCGATAAACTCTACATGGAGTCTATAGATTTTCTAAATTCACAAACTTTTTAAAGTCTAAAAAAATCCAATACAATCTCAATTGAATACACCCCCCTAAAATATGCAGAGGTGCATTCAATTAGGATTTTGATGAATTTTTTTTGTATTTTGAAAGTCTGTAAGTATTCAATTCAGATTTGAAAATGTCATTTAAAATCTAGGTGTATTCAATTCAGATTTTGACAAATCCTTATAAATATGATGGTATTCAAAAATTGATAGATTTTTAAAAAGTTTTAATAAGAGAACAAAGACAGGAAAAGAATATGAGAGAAAAAATTACTCCCTCCGTCCTAGAGTATTTGTCCACTTTCATTTTTACACACCATCCAATGCACTTCTTTAATCCATTTTATCTTGTAATTTGTATATTAAAAAATTATAGAAATTATATATTAATAATCTATATGTTAAGACAAATCAAACAAGATCACACATGACTATATTTAGGCTTACACATTGAGAGAATTTGATAAGTCAAAGTAATTAGATGAACAGTTCCAAAAGTCAAAAGTGGACAAAAAACTGTTTCTCTATTTACAAGGCTAAATTTCCGACACTCATAAACAGATCTTTCTACATCTTATGTCCGGATTTATTTTTACGAGTAACTAAATATCAGTTACTTCCTACACTCACTCACTCTTGCAAATAGGGGTGTTCATTCGGTAAAATCGTACCGAACCGAACCAAAAATTCGATAAAACTGAATTTTCGGTTATTAATTTTCTGTACCGAATACCGAACTGAATTATTACCGAACCGAATACCATGATGCGCTCTATAAGGAAACTCATCGGCACTCCACGAGATTCGACCTCTATAGTATCTGTGCAGCACACAACTTTGCAGAACCAGGAATTTGAAAAGGAAATCTTTATTGATCCTGTTGGTGTTCCTGATGATGATCTTATTATTGATCCCATAGATGTTGTTCCTGTTACCGTTGCTGATGTTGTTGTTGATGTTTTTGGTGACGATCAACGAGACCACACTGTCCAAGCAAAATATTCAAGCGACGGTGTCATTTTTTATGGATGCACGGAAACATTTGGTATGAATGGTCTACAGGCACGGTCAATCGTCGAAAGTCCTATCTCAATCGCAGCGGCTAAACGGTCGACCGCCGTGCAAACAGTCGACCGTCATAGTCTCATAATCTGTGCAAATCCTGTTTCATAAATCCTTGTCTAGATTTGACCTTAATATGTTATCGAATATGGTTCCTTCAATTTACCACTGAATGTTTCCTATCATGTATGTTATGTCCTTGGACTATTCCAAAGATTTTTGTGTTCATCATGCATGACGTAGATTCATGAAATAGGAAACCCGTCCTATCATGTCATACCGCCTAAAGAGGTCATACCCAATGCACCTCTAAACGCGGGCCTGCTCAGGAACCTTCGATCCGACGGGTATCATCCAGGGGCTTTGTGTACGTACATGGTAATACAAGTTTTTGGATACCATCCACAATTATTCTAGTCTCGTTTTGAGACTAAGGTTTGCCCGAATCATAACCCTCGTGGTGTGATCTCGAAGCGCAAGGGGTCCTTGCACGCCGAACTCATGCATCATGAAGCTCATATTGTTTATTTATCTGAAGCACTATGTGATACATGTACGTTAAGTACAGGTACAAATATGTTTGTATCTATATTGTTATACCACTGCATATTCCCTGACTAGAGTTACCACTCAATTTATGCTGAGCGTATAGTTGTTGTCTTTACTATACGCAGGTAGGAATGATGAACTTGAAGCATATCCCTGAAGTCAACGAGAGGGAGGAGTTGTAAGGACGGGTGGACGTGGATTTGTTTTCTTCTCTTAAACCATCCTATCCTTATCTTTTCGGGCTTGAACCCAACCTTGTTGTATTTTATCATGGATTGTTGCTTTACTTTTAAAAGCTTTCGAAACAAACAGTTTATATTTACTCCGTTATGTTTGATTGAACTGTTTTATTTGATTTTGTTAAAGTCATTATCTAAAGGGGTTTAAAATAGATGTTAAAAATACCATTTTAGTAACTACTCCGACCTGCCGGACCGTGAATAATCGGGTCTTACGAGTTGGGGTGTTAGAGTTCATTCTGACGAATCTAGAGAAACTGGTTAATCTGAATGGGTTATAGATATTAGTAAAAAAATCGCTTTTTACTATCATATTTAATTTGCCTATTTTTCAACCACGTGAGGTAAAAGACAACTTGTTACCATGACAATTCAAGAGGTTATATATGGGCTTTGTGGATTAAGAAAACTTCCAATTATTTAGGGTCCGTTCCGTAGGACTTATATTTTCTACTTATTACTTATTCTTTTTAAAATCAGATCAGATCAGACTAGACCTAATCAGATATTCAATCAGATCAGATCAGACTCAATCAGATCAGATCAAATCTAATCAGATCAGAACAGATCAATCAGATCAGACCAGATCCAATCAGATCAGATCAGATCCAATCAGATCAGACCAGATTCAATAAGATCAGATCAGACCAGATCAAATCCAACAATATGAAATCAAGAAAAATATAAAAAATAATATTTATATTTTTCAACGATTAAATAATAATTACTATTATTTAATTAAATCACGTTATTTTATTTAAAACTAGACACACCTAAATCTTAATTAATATTATAATTTTAATTATTATTTTTGTTATATTATTATTATTATTATTTTGTTATTATTATTATTATTATTATTGATATTATATTTTAATTACAAACCATTATTTTTAATAATTTCTTAGCTTGTAGGATAGAAATGATGCATGGAAGCAATGTTAAAGCTTAAAAAGTTATATTTTTCATATTTTAAAAAGAGTTATTTTTAAAATACTTGTTTATAAAATAATTATACAAAACCATAGATATTTTATACTTCAAAAAACTTACTTTTAAACTTTAAGATGGTATAATATACATAAGGGTGAGTTAAGGACAAAATTGATAGAGGTGAAACGGATATTAGTGTTTAAAATTTTATATGATATTTAATTTGTTACATGAAATATATTATTATGTAATACTTAGATTTGAAAAAAATTAAAAAAGTTGTGATATTGAAAAGATGTTTAATATTTTAAAAAAAGTTTAAACATATCAATGATTAGCTAATTTTCTTATTTTACTTTTTTTTATGTATATAAGAATTTTAATACTTTAAAACTACTCCTTCCGTTCCTTTAAATCCTTCCACTTTTGACTTTTGGCAAAAATAAGAAAAGTGTAATTTTGATTGACTTTCCAATTTTGCCCCTGATATGATGGGTAAAAGTAAGATGTGATAGTTTGGTTATTAGTGAAAAAGTATGATGTAATAGGTAGGGTATGAAAAAGTAAGGCTAAAAGTGGTTTTTTAATAGAAAGTGGAAGTGTTTTAGAGAATTCAAAAAAAACGAAAGAAGAAGGGTTTTGTGGAACGGAGGGAGTATTAAATTTGGTAATAATTTTAATTTTAATTTAAATCAAATTTAAATTCATTTACACTAGATCTAATTAGATAAAATCAGATCCAATCAGATCAGATCAGACCTAATCAGATCAGATCAGACCCAATCAGATCAGACCCAATCAGATCAGATCAGAACTTCAAAAATTCAGATCAGATTCAATCAGATCAGGCGTACGGAACAGAGCCTAAAAATTATCGTTCTATAGTGTTTTATTTTACAAAGCTTAAAAAATATTTATATGAAAAAAAATAAACATTATTTTTTTAATAATAAGTATGAATAATTTATATCTAAAAACTTATTGTCGTCTATCAAAATTAAGAAATATTTACTAATTACTCCGTATAATTTAATACAGAGCATGTTACACTTCATTTTTCTTCTATTTTTTCTTATTTCAACCAACAAATATATGTGTGAAATCTTACATACTCTCTCAGTCCAAAAAGAGGAAGTCACATTTCACTATTTAAAAAACACGGAAACTTTAATTTGTTTGTACATTTTATTGATTGTGTGATAAAATATATTTTTGTCACTATCTTTTTGAAGAACTTTTTACGTAATTTTTAAATATGTAATTTTTTGTATTTCTATATCAATCTTTAAATAAAATAAACTTAAGAGAATTTAAATTTTTACTTTGTTTTGCGTAATATTACAAATATTTTGGGAGTGATGAAGTAGTATATATAAGAACACACAATAACCGAGCTTTATTTTTAAAAAATGTTAGTATGTGCATACTATTTAAGTATTTGTTAAACATTACATATCAATTAGAAATTCCCTTTAAAAAATATCAATTAAAAATAAAAATAATAGAGATTAAAAAAATGTGTGAAAGCATATATATGTACAATGACATTGAAAACAAAATGGAGAATTGAAAAAATAAAATTTAAAAAACTTTGATTATTTTTAAGGAAAAGTTACCCAAAATAATCTCAATTTACCTGACCTTTCAAAAATAATTTCACATTTCACTGTGATGCACAATAATCCCAACTTTATTGAAATTTGTGAGTTTTGGGTCGCTGTTAAGTTTCTAACGGCGGGTTAACGAAAATGCCTGTTTTGCGCAACAAAATGAAAGTTGGGATTATTTTTGATGAATTTATTTTTTTTTTAATGATAGAAAGTAATTTTAAAATTTTGAATGAAAACTTAAAAAAATAAAAAAAATGAAAATTCATAAAAAGTAACCTCAACTTTCATTTCGTTGCGCAAAACAGGCATTTCCGTTAACTCGGCGTTAGAAACTTAACGGCGACCCAGAACTTGCAAATTTCAGTAAAGTTGGAATTATTATGCATCATATTGAAAGATAAGATTATTTTTTAAAGACCAGATAAAATTGAGATTATTTTGGATAATTTTTCTTAAGTTTAATATAATCGTTAGTCTCGAAGAGTAATGAGAAAACTCACCCATTAAGTTCAAGTTCCAGTGGGAGCTGAAGCGTTGACACATTCATTGGTTCAGATCAATATCCAATCCTCAATTTTCAAAAGAAACATTAACACATCTACACTAGACGATTAAAGAATCATTGGTCATTTGGCCCAACTTGATTACTACAAGTATGATTTATTAATAATTGTTAATTTATTAATAATTGTCTCACTAATGGAGCATTACAAAGATCTCCAAAAGTGTTGCGTAGAAATGTCATTGACTTAGGGGGTCATCCAACGCAATTCAATGTTTGGAAAGTTCACGTGGGAAGGAAATGGGCCTATTCTGTTTCCTTTTCCTATTTACTATCCGTATCACCATTTTGTGGTGTTGAAATGTCACCCTCTCCTATACGGCGTTAGGCCATGTCCAACAAACTGCTACCTACGAGAGGACACCTTCAAGAATGCACCATGAAAGCCATGTCAAAAAAAAACTAAATCTCTTTTTATGTATTTTATGGACACCACTCTAGCAAGTTTTTTAGATTATTACTCACACCATCTCAAGATAAATTGTATATTGTGAAATTTAATTTGCTCTAAATAGTACTAAAATATATGTCATTTTCCAATGTAATATTAAATTATTTATTCTCTAAATAGTATTTGAAGTCTTGAATAATGTCTATTGGCGGGAACAATGTCTAGTGATGGTGGTCATTTAGTTGGAATAATATCCAGTGGCGGTGGACATTTACTTGAACAATGACTTGTGGACAATGATCAGTGATACTACATTGGGAATTAAAAACATATTGTATTACACATTGGGAAAGTCATTATGTAATAGTAAATTCCCCTTTTATATTTGATTTTTTATGTTAAGTTTTTATAAATTTTGACTGTAAATTGTAAAAAAGAGTATGTGTAAACATAACCCCCTCTATATATGCTTGTCGTGTATTCCATTATTTCTTGTGTAATATAATTATTCCATTATTCAATATGAAAGAATGTTATTGAAAAAATTTATTTCTTTCTCTTCTCATTGAAACATAAAACTACCTCTATCCCAGTGTATTCAATTAGTTTGACTTTTTCAAATTTTACTGAATGATTTTTGAAGGTCAATGAAATAAAAATTGTAATGCACATTAGTATAAAAATAATATCATTAGATATATCTTGTAGAAATTAAAATTTTTAAAATTTTATTTCATTATATTAATATACAATATATACAAATTTACATAGAGTAGTTGATGATCAAAATTTATCTAATTTGACTCAAAAAAATTAATTTGGACGAATAAACTACAACAAAAGAATCTATATAATTAAATGGTAACTTCTAATTATAATTAACACTCTCAAAAAATTAACTCTAATTAAAATTGTTGTTCCAAAATTATTTTTTGTAAATTCAGTACGGTAAATTGACCCCGGTAACTCCCAATAATGCACTAGTGGTAAGATGTGTTTGTGTAAACTCTACTACTTAATTGCAAGTAGAGCAACTTCTATATTACTCGATCTTACAACAAAAGATAAACCCATAAATAGATAGGATTGGGTTGGACGTAAAAGGCAAAAATGGCATGCTTAGGGAAGGAGATTGAATGATATTACCACAAGCAAAACTATTAATGAGGTAAATTATATATTGCGGTACATGGGAGAGAGACAATTGCATTAGTGCTATTTAGTGCAAATATTTCAATTAAATAACACCAAGTTTGACATCACATTGTAAATCCATTTTAAATTAAGTTGCATGTTTACTATTCACATATTTTTGTTACTTATTTGATAAAATAATATGTCATGTCATCGTAGAGCTTTAGTTTTGATGTAGTTTTGTAATATGTAAATTTTATCTTTTTTAATTCTACTTCAATCCTCAATTATATTGTATTGAAATAATTTCAGTCAAATATCGTAAATCAAAACAGACAATTTAATTTAAATTGGCATAAAAGAAGTAGAATAAAAGAAAAAACGCAAAAAACACACCAAATTTGACATCACGTACGTTGTCTGTAAATTTGTAATGCACGTACAATATAACTGTGTGTCTAAAATTCTATGTACATACTCCCTCCGTATGGAAATAATGATCTTTCCATTTGATTTTTTGGTCAAAGTTTTTCGAAATGCTCCCTCCGTCCCCCAGTTTTTGTCCACTTTTGACTTTTGGAACTGTTCATCTAAGCACTTTGACTCATCAAATTCTTTCAATGTGTAAGTCTAAATATTGTCATGTGTGATCTTGTTTGATTTGTCTTAACATATAGATTATTAATATATAATTTCTATAATTTTTTAATATACAAATTACAAGATAAAATAGATTAAAGAAGTGCATTGGATGGTGTGTACAAATGAAAGTCGACAAATACTCTGAGACGGGGGGAGTATCAAATTTGTAAAAAATATTTTTATATATAAATATAGATAATAATTGTCAAAGTGCAACATTGAAGACCGTGAAAAGTCAAATGGAAAGAACAGTTTGAGACGTAGTAGGGAGGATGAAACTTGGTATATATACCCAAATTCATTGGCAATTGTTATTTGAACTTGATGTTATTGTAGCATAAGTAAGGGAACAAAAGGCCATTTGCAACTTCATCCATGTGTTCCTTCTTAGCTTAGAGTAGCATTGAAGACTATATATAGTTACGAAAGTTGAAAGATTTTCAAGAATCATCATCTTCAAGAACATGGGGATCAGCAATAATGTCTCCAATCTCCTCCTCCTCCTCTTCATCATCGCCGCCAGAACACTCTGCACCACCGCCGCCCACGCCGCCCACCGCCGTTCACTGCAAGCGGTTAATGAGGAGAAGGGCGGGGTGAAAGTTGTGACGACGGCGGTTGTTGTGTCGGCTGTGGTGGCCACTTCAGCTTTTTGCGCCGTCGGCCTCTATTGCAGATGCCTAAAAAGGTTCAAGAAACCGAAGAAAAACAAGAGTGGGGTAAAAGAGAGTGATCAAGAAACAGATAATGATGAAATAAATATAGCCGTTGAAGAAGAAGAAGAAGAAGAAGAAAAAGATTCACTATCGTCGGACGAAGAATCTTTCCATTCCGCTTGCAACGAGATCGCCGCAGAGGTTACCACCCACGCGCCGCCGCCGCCGCCGCCGCCGATCCGGAAGCCAGAAGAGCAGTTAATGCGGCCGAAAGGGCCTCCTCCTCCTCCGCCACCGTCAAAACCTTACAAAACGACGCCGTGTTTGGGGAAGGATGGGAGCTCGCTGCCGAGACTGAAACCTCTGCGTTGGGAGAAAGTCAGAGCTGCTCGGAATATTTCGACTGTGTGGGACCACCTCAAACCAAGTTCCTTCGAGTAAGATCCATTTTATTTTTGGCTTGGTTAAAAAAAATATCTAAATAAAATTATTTTTAATCTCTAAAACAAAATTTTATATTATGATAATGTGATGCCATATATTCACATTTTACAATATATTTGGATTATGAATATAGTCATAACTCACACTACATATGTATTTTAACTTCTATTTCAGTTATAAAAAATGAAACTTTTATTTTGGTGTCTTTCCAATATTCTCCTCACGAGCTTCACCTGTGTTTTTCAACTAGTCTTCCTTTCCAAAATTTCTTTTTTATTTAACTTTTTTAAATTAAACTGCACATTTTGGTCGTATTTAATTACAAAAAAAATTATTTAGTGTTAATGTAAATTTAATATAATTGGATTTACACTACAAGAATCTGCCATATTTGCAACGGAAATCTACTACGGAACTTATTATGTTGTAGATTTGCGACAGCTCTACGAATGATATTCAAAAAATAGAAAACCCAGATAATATTTGCCACAAAATACATGGATCCGTCGCAGACTTGCAACGGGGAATGAAATCCTACATGTTGTGGGGTCCGCACCTTGCAAGGTGTAGCAATTCTACCCCTTCAAGAATCAACTTGACTATGCCTGCAGCTAGGCCTGCAGGCACTCTAGTCTCGGTGACTAGAGTATTCATCATCATCCCCCCCGCGCGCTTTTTTACACACCTAGGTTGTCTTTGATTGTACCATATTGACCATCGATGCATTTGTGATGGCATGCATATGTAACAGATTTGACGAGGAAATGGTGGAGTCATTGTTCTGTTACAACCAGCAAAACTCCATGAATGATATTGACGCCAGAAACAAAGCTTCGTCATGCCCAACAACTAATAATAAGCACCTTCTCGAGCCCAAGAGATTGCAGAATATAACCATACTTTCTAAGGCTTTGAATTTGACTCCAGACCAAGTTTGTGATGCGCTACTAAAAGGTATGGAGTTTCACCCTTTCGAAATAAACTTTTCACTTTTTTTTGTTGCTTTCAAAATAAAGTTTTTATTCTTTTTAAAGAATGAAATGGGTGATCTCCAGCAATTCTATTTCTTTTGCATCAATTTCAACCAAATATTTTCATTTTCTCTTAAGTTCTGTTAAACAACAAGTGGGAACTTTAATCTGGGCCGAGGAAGTACGTAATATGTTGATCTTCCAAACTTTTCCATGTGATTTGAGAAAAAAACCCTATTTATTAATTGTTTAATGATCATATTGTATGAACATAGGAAAAGGATTGGTTTTGAGAGAATTAGAAGCATTGGCAAAAATGGCACCAAATAAGGAAGAAGAATCCAAACTTTGGAGTTACAAGGGAAACATACATGAGTTAGGATCAGCAGAGAAGTTTGTAAAAACAATATTGTTGGAAGTGCCCTTTGCTTTCCGAAGAGTTGAAGCCATGCTTTATCAAGAAACATTTGGGGATGAAGTTCTTCATCTCACAAAATCTTTCTCAACCATAGAGGTTACTCAAAAGAAAACGTATTACATTAATAAATAGTCGGTCTCATTTGACTTTGCACATTTTTAAATATAACATTTTATCATTGGTCAAAGTACGTTGGTCAATGTTTAAAGGGAATTTGATTATCAAAGTTGTTGGAGATCTTAAAATTTGGAGTAATTAACATGAAATTATATTTGGAAATTGGTTGAAGGAGGCATGCAAGGAGCTAAGATCAAGTAGACTGTTTGTGAAGCTACTCCAAGCGGTGCTAAAGACCGGAAACCGAATGAACGCCGGAACGACACGTGGCGGGGCCACCTCTTTCAACCTCGACGCCCTCCTTAAGCTGCCGGACATCAAGGCCGCCGACGGCAAAACCTCACTCCTCCATTTCATAGTCCAACAAATCATCCGATCCGAAGGCCTCGATCTCTCCCACAGCATAGTAGGCAAGATCCAGCACCCATTCGGGGAATACGACTACCACCGAATGGGCCTGGATCTCGTCTCCGGGCTGGGCCTGGAGCTCTGCCACGTCAAGAAGGCCGCCACAGTGGACTTGGAGTCGTTGTGTCAGTCCCTCTCCCATCTTTCTAGAGGAATGAGTGACATTAAGAAGCTATTGCAGGAGGACTTGGCGGGCCCAGACCCAAACAAGGAAGACATTTTGGAGACAGGAAATGACAGTTACTTGAAGAATGTGCCTGATGAGAATTACTACTTTGCGCAAACGATGGGAGCGTTCTTGAAGACCGGGGAGAGGAGGTTGAAGGATTTGAAGGAAGAGGAAGAGAGGGTTTTGGGGAGGGTGAAGGAGATTAGGGAGTACTTCCATGGAGATGATGTGGCTGGGGGAGATGAACATAATAAGAACCCGCTGAGAATTTTTGTGATTGTAAGAGATTTCTTGGGCATGTTGGATCATGTTTGTAAGGAAATTAGGAACTCATCAAAGCATCCCCCTAACCCTTTATCTTCTTCTTCCTCCATCATATTCATAAGATAATTGGTTTGAAGTTTTGGTTAAGTTTTGTCAATAATAAAGTGAGTGAATGATTTTGTTAAACATATATCAACTATTTGTAATAGGTGCAAGTTTAACTCAATACATACTCCCTCCCACCCACAAAACATTACCCATTTTGATACGGAGTATATTTTTAGTCAAACAGTTACACGTTTTGATCATAAATTAAATATAATCTAAATAAAGAAATGTTATAAAAAATTGATATATCAAAACTACATCCTAAGATTAATCCAATGATATTAAATTTATATTATAATTTAAAATACTTATCGCACAATTTATATCTTGCCTCAAATACAAAAAAAAACTTTCAAAACAACTTATATCCTGCCTCAAATGAAAAAAAAACTTTCAAAACAACTTCTATCCACAATAAATAAGAAATAGGGTAAATTTTAGGTATTTTAAATGTGTGTAGAAGTATTTTATAAGATGCGCAAAAAATGAAACAGAAAGATCTTTTTAGGACAGATAGAGTATAAAATTAGAACTAGAAAACAAAACCGGGCTTAATTTTTAATTTACTGTACTGTTGTTAGAACGACGGGTGATGGCGCCTGGTCAAGTAAGCCAACGATAAAAAACGGATAATGCTACTTACACCCCAAACTTACCCCAATTTGTACCCCAATATAAAAGACCTCCCCCACCCCACACATGCAAGTAACCCCCCCCCCCACCTAATTCACTCTGCTTCACAATCTTACTCTCTCTCCTCCGTTACCTTTTTCTTGCCGGTTTGAATGTCCTCCTCGCCTTTTGTGTCGC